ATAACGCTGAGCGAGGCTACGCGTCAACTGCATCACACCCTGCTGCTAATTAGTGTTGTTATTATGAACGTAACAACCCCATAACCATGATATCATCACTGCAACCGTCTCGCGCGTGTGACAAGGTTACAGTGTCTTCTTAAGGTTATTTCGCAAACTTTCGCTATCTTCCACTTTCCATCGTAACGTCCAGGTAATATTTTTACTTGCATACCGGCATCCTCTATTTTTCATTCCGGACACCTCACAACCTTATTTGGTACGCCCTCCGCTACCTTGCAGAACTTGGGTAGTAAGATGCTCTCCTCTCTCTCTTCTCTCCCCCCTCCTGGTCTCTCGATCGCTTCTTCGTCTCTCTCTCGTCTTCATCTCTCATTCTCTCCCTCCTCTCTCATCTCTCGCTCTCTCTCTTCTCTCTCTCTCTCTCTCTCTCTCTCATCCTCTCTCTCTCTCTCTCTCTTCTCTCTCCTCTCTCTCTCTTCTCTCTCTCTCTCTCTCTCTTCTCCTCTCTCTTCTCCTATCTCTCCTCTCTCTCACTCTCTCTCTCTCTCATCTCTCTCTTCTCTCTCTCTCTCTCTCTCTTCTCTCTCCCTCTCTCTCTCTCCTCTCTCTCTCTCTCTCTCTCTCTCTCTCTCTGCAGCACCCCCCCCCCCCCCAGCCCGCGGTGCTCTTGTACACACTGTGACTAAAGCGCTGCGCTATGTTAAAGTCTTCATGATACATATCTTAGCGTGCTGAAAACAGATAATACAAAATGACGTACCACTGACGGCATATTTGGAGTGATTGTTTTAGTATTCAAATTGGAATATGCAGATGTGCGATGAGCAATTCCAAACCAAAATAGTTTCGTATTTTTTCAGTATGAGCAAAAGGGGAAGATGTGGTAGTGTATTGCATTTCAGAAATGGGGTTCATGAAATGCGCAACTGATTTATTTTCCTGAATGAAGGAGTGGGCGGCACCTGCCGGCAGGTCGTCGCGGGCGTGGATGACAGAACTGACGCCAGTGATCTAGCAAGAAATAATGGTCGCAGTTGAGGTTGTTTCATAAATTGCTGGGCCCGGGTACAGAAGCACACTTGGAGTATCATATTGAGGTGATATGGTAGTTTTAGTTATTCAGAAGGTGTACTTGATGGGCGACATCCTGCGCTCGTGACCTGGGTGCCGCTAAAACTGTCGAGTGGCATTTGTAGGCTTGTTGCACTTACCCTGGACCCTGAAAATATTAAATAATGTGCTCATGCCCTTAGGTTATTGAAGCATGAATAAATTTTGGCTTCTGTGATGTGGCGATATCTGTGAATTGCTGACCAAAATAATTGTGATATGACTAATAATGTAACAAGCCTTCTCTATTCTGGTCTTCATGCAAAATATCATTGCCAACAGGTAACAAGCTGTGCTAGGCATTTTGCTACTCACTGGCTTATGACAACTTTTGCACATTTTCCAATAACAATAAACAAATATCGTAAATGCAAGACACTCAGATGAGCCAGATTTGCTGACAAGATTTTGAAAGTCCTTAAAGTCAAAGCAGACTGCCACTGATTCATTTGATAATTTTTTTCTGGTAAGCCTGACGGGACCGGATTGGATTGAGAGCTCTGTGAAAAACGAATTGGCGGGCGGATTGAATGTTGACTAGACGGACTGGACTGTACTGGATCCTGAAATTTCATTTCGTGGAATGCTCTAGAATATGCCTTATAAGTTTCATGCCACTACGGACATGCTTCCTTAAATATAGGCATGCAAAGTGCAATTTTCATGACCTGACATGATGAAGGCATTACTGACCTATCAACACAAAATTAATTATCGATCGCGAGACCTCGCTGAAGCCAATCTATTGCGTCTTTCGTTATGGCTCTACTGTTTTTAGTTTGGAAACGGCAAGGAGTCCCAATGCCTCCCACCATTAGCCCGCATGATGAAAAAGGGCGGATCAGTGCGAAGTTAAAACCGTATTTGCGCTGTTGTTACCCGGGGATTTTGCCAGACCTTTTTGGCTTTGCACAAAAAGATAAAAAATGTTAAGTTAGTGATAGCAGCCTGCATAAGTTCTTATGCTGGAAATAACCGACCACCAGGAGGAACCAATTAAACGAAGATAGCATGCAATCATCGGGACTTATGATGAGGCTACCCCAAATTCGACGCTCTTTTGTTAAGCCCTGAATGGAGAGGTTTTCTGTTATTTCAATATCTTGAGTCCCGAGTCGTCCTTTGTTGTCACCTAAGTTATTGCTACAGGGTTAGTGTTTGTTGCACCATTCTCTATTGCTGAATAGCTGTATACTACGCGCTCTCCAGGTGGTGTGTACGCCCTACATGCACGTGCGTCTATCGGGCGTTCATTTAATAGGTCTCAAAAGCTTCGTTCCGTTTCTACGACAGGCAACATTCCTGAACAAATGTCACAAGATATCGTATAAACTACATACATCCGCGTGTATTTTTCTCGAAGCCCATGAGCTCATGTGTGACAAAGTCTATTTCCAGCTGGATACGCTGGGGTCCTCAGGGTCAAATGGTCTCTCTCTCTCTCTCTCTCTCTCTCTCTCTCTCTCTCTCTCTCTCTCTCTCTCTCTCCCCCTCTCTCTCTCTCTCTCTCTCTCCCCCCCTCTCTCTCTCTCTCTCTCTCTCGCTCTCTCTCTCTCTCTCTCTCTCTCTCTCTCTCTCTCTCTCTCTCTCTCTCTCTCTCTCTCTCTCTCTCTCTCTGCAGCACCACCCCCGGCCCGCGACGCTCTTGTATGCGCCCAAATTGCTCAGGCGCGCTTTCAGGATGTTTGGATGGAGTTCAAGTCAGGGGAGCTCCCCGACTACATCTTGTCGTTATAACACTCGGGAAGCTGCGCTTGGCGCCGCTGTTCGGCCAGCTGCGCTATTTGGGCGAGTGTGACGCCTCGCGTGAAGATAGCGGCCGACAGCGGCCGAACACCACCGGCCTCTGATTGGTGGGCCTCGGGCTCCTTCGTTTCAAAGCTTTCTGAGAGTATCTTTGGGCCCTCTCGGCGCACAAGAGGGGCATGGGCCCATGTCCACCCGCCGCCCCCCTATTTGGATCCTTCACTCTCCCGAACAGATTAGCAGATGGGACACTGACAAGAGCATAAGGGCCCTCCAAGGAATTTAGAGGTTCCCTAAACACAATGTGGAAGATTCCCGAACGACCGAGTGCGCCTGATCGGGTTTACAGATGGGGCCCCGAGAAGAGCAGGCGGTCATCCGGAACAGACAGGAACTAGCAGTGGCCCCACACCAATGTAGAGAGCCCATGAGCATACTGAGAGTGTGTCGGTAGGTTGACCGAGACCAGCGCGAAGGGCCCCTGGGCAACTGAGATATACCCCGGCAGGCTTAGGCATGAGGCCTCCGGGAAAAGCGTGTAGAGCCTGTTGGGAGAATGGGGAGCATTCGTGGAATGCCCTGATCGATAAGAGTGCCCTGGCATGCTGGCAAAATGGGTCCCGACACCAGCGTGGGGCGCTCTGACCAAATGCAAAGAAATCAAGGGCAACGTGGAAGACCCCTTGACGATCGAATTGACCTTACAAGAGAACATATAGGACCCCCGGGAACACCGTAGGGAGTCTGAACAGTGTAATGACCATTAAAACTGCCTTATCCACCGCCCCCTCAATCAGCGAAGAATTACTTTTGTCTGCTCGTGGGCCCTTCACTTTCGCTTACGACTGTTCTTGTTTGCCTGGATGCCCAGAGACGTACAATTTCGTGACGTTTTGTGCAAATGGAAAAGCTGCGTGTCTGCTTGGCCGGGTATGGGGCCCCATGAAAGCCTACGGAGCCCTTCGGTGGCCGGGACGTCAAACCAGAGAGATCTTATGCTCAGACAGTTGGCTGGTCCAGAATGCTGTTTCACATGTCCAGAATGTCGGTCCACGGACGGAAATGGTTCAGAATGTTGGTCCAATGTTCACAGAGGACTGGTTGACTGGTCCACAGTGGTGACCAGAATGGCATAGAAGCACTTCCAAAGGAACTCCAAACCCCAAAAAGCGACTGAGTTTCATTCACGTCCCATGAGGCGTTTGGTTTAGTCAGGGTGGTTTCTCTAGTGGCTGTTCGTATTTTTTATCGATACTTTATTGATATATTATCCCGATTAACTGAAAAATTTCCATTCAGCATCTCGAAAAGGTGGTCGGATGCAGAACAAATATGCCAGGTTAGAGTGAATTTGTGCAAAAGACCAAAATGTTTATTTAAGACTAAGAGAATGTGTTGCAGCGGCACTGTCCAATGCTGCTATTAAACGTAACTAGACCTGAGGTTCCACTAGAGCATGTCTATGAAACATGCCCAAAGGTGGGACACACACTTTAAAACGTCACACACTAGCCAGCCCCGAAAATATTCATAAGCCGGAGTCGTTTTGATTTTGCCAACTTCCGCCGCGAGTGACTCATACTTTACCATCACAGACGTTCAGAGTAAGAGCAATGCACCACTGCCTGAAACGTGGTCCAGCGCGCCACTCCATGCTTTTGATGTGTGGAGGCTTGTTTATGCGAATACAATTCAGCGACGCAACGTGCACCTGTGAATCCATGCCAACTATGAGTGCATCCAGGACCCGTAACGAAGTAAGCTCATGTGGAAGTGTCACAGATCTACGCCGGCGGATGGCTCAGCGGAGGGCCGTGTAAGCCAGCTGTAGCCATGTAAGATGACCAGGTTACCCAGTAACGGTGAGGTCACTGTGCACACGCGTGAACGCCTGTCTAACCGACCTGACCCAGCTGGATGCGCCCCTGCGTGGCTCGCTGCAAGCGCGGGGGTTTTACCACGCTAGCAAAGAGGCTGGCAGTGTGGTCTGCAGCACCGCACCATACCACAACGGTCCGTTCCGCATGCCCGGTGAGCTTTGAGACCGACGGCGCCACCGTGGGCTCCCTCGGCCGTTTCGTGGTTGCGGGTGACGCCACGGCCCCGGGTCCTGCCGTTTCGTCCTCGTGGCGTTTCGGTCACCAATGGGGAAGGACAAGGTGGCGCGGGGCGGTGCCTGGTATAAAAGGAAACTAGGACTCGCCGGCCGCAGGTCGCTCATTACCTGAGCCGTTCCCGCCGCGAACCTGGTGAGGGCAGACCGGGACCGGTCCGAGCCGGTGGCCGCGGGCGCGCGTTCCGTTGGCCGGGCTGCCTCCAGTCGGCCGCGACGCCGCTTACTGCTCTGACCGACCGTACGCCGGCGCGCCGCCCGCCATTCACACTCGTCATCTCCGTTCGCAGACATGAAGAGCTTACTGTACGTAGCAGTGGCTATCTGCCTCGTCGGCTATGTCTGCTCGGCTGAGGCCGAAGGTGAGTCACTTGGCGGCCGCTCGCGGGGGCGCCCCGCGCTCTTCAGTGACGGCCGTGCTGCCTGCAAAATGCGTTGTCTGTACGAAGCTTTTAGACTTTGAAGCGGTGAGTTGGAACGTCACTTCGAAGCGGTTCCCCTCGGTCAGTGAAGTTCATAAAGGGCATGTATTTTCAGAGCGATGAACGGCAAAAAATATGGTCATCTCAGTAATGGATGTTTTGTGCATCAATTCGATTGGCTCAAAATTTCATCGTTTGAATCGCTTTGGATGCAGATTGCGCCGTTGTGGCATTAGTTTAAATGCCATGACGGATATATCACGCGGTCACAGTCAATGTGCGAGCTTCGAGGCCCTTGCCCTTCAACGCTTCGTTGCGTAAACCTCAGTTCGATTGAGGTACAAGCCAACAGCTCCAGAGGTGTTCTCAGTCACGAGACGCATCGTTGCAGTGATAATCTATCCTTCGATTTCCGTGTAATTCTAGCCGCATATTACCTGCGTGCCATGTATTGGACCGTCTGGCGTATCGTTCTCCAGCACACCGGACATATTACAGATTCGGCGAAGGAGAGGTTCGTCGCCCTATACAGAACAGCCACATACATAACCATCAGCACCAGCACAGTGAGCCAGTTCTACATCTGCCAAAGCAGTAAGCATCCCGACATTATACTTACAACATGACCTGACCCGCCCAAAAAGCCTTTCCACATCACGCTCCTGGGCTGTGCACCTCCGCCCATAACGCTGTCCAGTGGGTGCCGTTGGCTCAGTCGGCAGCGCATTTCAGTGCCGGAGGAGCGCAAAGGCCTGGCCAGAGGCTTCTGGGCAGTATGGAGGACGGCCACGGTGCTTTCGGTCACCGTCACGACCTCCACCACTTTCTTCACCTGCGCGCTCGGTAAGTGGGCCGGTCGGCCCGAGCCTGCTGACGGACGTGTTCGCTTCGCGACTCAAGACCGGCTCGGCACACAGCTCGGGTGCGATAGACGCGACCCCGCTCCAGCAGCGGGCCGGTGCGGGGCACGCCGGCGAAACACTACTCGCACAGCTTGGCCGAGGAAACGCGCAGTCAGAACAAGCGCTTGACCTGACCTTTCTGGATGTCACCTTCGGAACATGTGCTTGCTGAAGATATGCTCACTGGGGATGCGTCTTACGAACATGCGCCCGCTGCATGCCATCTTCCTGAACATAATTCCGCTGGATGCACGCCCGCTGAAGGCGTGCCCGCTCATTATGCGCGTGCTGAGCATACGCTCGCTGGACGCGCGGCTGCTGAACATACGCTCGCTGAAAGCGGCTGCTGAACATACGCTCGCTGGACGTGCGGCGGCTGAACATGCGCCCGCTGGACGCAAGGCTGCTGAACATACGCTCGCTGGACACACGGCTGATGAACATACGCTCGCTGGACGCACAGCTGCTGAACATACGCTCGCTGGACACACGGCTGCTGAACATACGCTCGCTGGACGCACAGCTGGTGGCCGTGCACCAGATATTGGCGCTTGCGCTGAGCATCGCTTGCTGGGTATACGCCCGCTGGACACGCTTCTGCTGAACGCAGCTCGCTGGATACACGGGTGCTTAACGGATTTCAGCTGAATGCCCTCGTGCTGAACACACATTCGTCTGATACACGGCTGCTGCAGAAGTCGGTCGATATACAGCGTGGCCGGCTGGATACCTAGTTCAACGGAAGCAGCGACCAGGATCCAGTATGCTCGCATCTATTACAATAACGTCAACCTCTGGCACATGTGGGCTGTCACGACAAACAAGCAATGTAGCTGCCAGTGCAGCAGTAATGGCGCGTTGACCGAGCCAGATGGAGATCACCACCGCGCTACCTCTCGTGGATACCTCTGGTAAGACGGCCGACTGACCCAGCTGTCTCGCACAGGCACCGATGCCGCAACTGCTTGTGTGAGGAGGCGTCGTAGTCTGCCGGTCCCAGCGCTGGGCGTCAAGTGAGTGTCGAGTGCCAGAGCCGAATACAGTGCAAGTATTTGTTTTCAGGATCGCCTGCGTTGCTTTCACCGGTAACAAAAAGTCACTGGCGCGATAGCGCCTGTACGTGACAGCCTTGCATTGCCAATGTGAAGTATGTGGTTGTTTTGGAACTCAGACACGAAAACAGTGCTTAAAGTTTGGATTACTGCTTGAAATGATCAGGGGCGTGTATGAACTCATCGGCCAGCCTGGTTCCATCCCGCTTATCCCATGTCCCACGCCTCATGTGATGCAACGTGCCTGCGACCCGGAGGTGAGTCACGCACCGGGCTGCGCATGCTTCATCGCCGTTTGGTTGTGTCTTGAAAAGATGAGCGCACCGGGTCTCTTTAGGTGCGTATTTCACAGTGTGAGTTTGGCTTCTATGGTTCTTGTGGACAGCTTTGTCTATATCCAACAGGGATATTGTGTTTTGGCCTGAGCGATCAGGGTGTGTGCTCGATATTTCCGAGCTATTTGACAAACTTATAGTTACATTGAATGCATATGCTCCAGTAGAGATACTGCAATATTGCAAATCAACGCTCTAATGGGAATACCAGCAACGCTTTCGCTGCCGCTTTGCCTGCTTCGCTCACGGCTCCCCTCGCCTATAGCATCGTCGGCTGCCGCCTGCACGGGCCGCAAGCGCAGGAAGAGGAGGGCCGACATGCTGCAGAAGGTCGCCCCCGAGTAAGTGATCCAGCTGTCCCATACGATCCGCTGCCATCCTGACCGGTCCGACGCCCACTGCCTTCCCGGCCGGGCCGAGCCGAGCGCGAGTAGCGAGGCGGCCCTAACACTCGCCCCGCTGACAGGGAGCTCGAGGAGCCGGCGATGCCCGAGCTTCAGTCGTCAGTGCAGAACGTCGGCGAACAACCGGCTGGGTTCCGCGATCCACGCATCTTCTTGTCTGTGACCACCAGCGTCACGTCCACCCTCACCGTCACGAGCACCTCGATCAACAACGCCGTTATTATCAGCCTGTCCATCCTCTGCGTGCCGGATGGTGGCATTATCCCAGCCTGCGGTTAACGTCGGCCCGCCCGCCTCTTCCCGTGCCCCGCCAGACCGTACATGCGCAGATACATACTTTACCAATCGGACTATTCCACATTACTGCATGCAACATGTTTGCTTTCGATCATATCGCAAACAACGACTGGCCATTTGCTCACCAACTCTGACAGGCGCTACACTGAACAACACCGTCCCGTGTCTAGCCCGTGTGTGTGCGCGCGTGCGGTAGGCTGCTGGAGGCGCAGGCGGCGCAGCTGCAGGGTTCGATGGCGGAGGACGTGGCGCCGGTCGAGGCCGGCTCCCGGGAGGGCCGGCTCGGCTTCACCGTCTGGACGACATCGACCAGCACGATCACGCTGACTACGACCAGCTTCAACTCGGCTACCACCATCTCGCTCGTCTATCTGTGCACGTCTTCGGGCGCGAGCACGGTGCCCAGCTGCTGAGGCCACCGCCGCGTCCGCCGAATCCCGCCCCGCTTATTCACGTGCCCCTGTCAGTACGGCCACCGGCTCCCACCGCGGCCGCTCGTCGGTACCAGCCGGCGACTCTCTGGCCGCAGCAGTTGTTGATTTTCTGTTGTTAGCTTGTTATGTACATGTCTGTTGAAGCTGTAATACAACCTGGATGCACTCGCCGAGCTTTTGTGTTGGGCGCTGCGGAGCGAAATGGCGGCTGAAGACAAGCCGCTTGATGTGACATAGCGGCAACTTGCAGGACGCTTGAGAAGGATTTGACGCTTTTATGCGAAACGAAACCAAATTTGGTCCCAGGCGCACAGGACCCAGCGACTGCGTGCGCAAAGTTTTCATGACGACGGATTTCAGGTTCATTTTGCTCATGGCAAATTGCAAGGCATTTGATTAGCAAGGCCAAGCACCAGGGCGGCATCCATCTGTTGGCGGAGGCCCTGTCACAATTACTATTACTGTTACGAGACCCTGTACATACGTAAGGATGGAGCCAGCGCATGGCACCCATGACCAAACAGATTCGGAGTCGCGTCAAGAAGCAGCCAATTCCCGAATTTGCGGGAAAACTTTACATGAGCCTTTAGAGCTGCATAGAAACAAACGAGACAAACCTTATATCGGCTGCCCCCCCCCCCCCCCCTCCGCCCCTGGTAGCTTTTGCCGGCTACAAATAGCCATGCCACATAATTATCCCTTATAATGCACGACAGAGCACCCAGCTTTCACTGAGTTCTCTGCTAGCACTTTCAATACGTCTGTTCCCTGAAATTTGGTGAGAACAATGCCTGCATTACCGGAATACCAATAGCCACGTAAAATCATTGTCCAATTCCACCAACACAACAAGGAAGGATGGGTCTTGGTGGCGCAGCCTTCCTTGGACCGAACATGTGTCGGATTGAATATTTTTGGAGATGAGCTTTCCATTGATTCATGATCCTTCTTAAGCGGTTCAGATCTGGTTCCAGTTGTGATTCCGTGTTTTTAGAACCGAATGGTTGTCGATTGACATTCAAAGTCAAAGCTTAAGCTCTGATTTAACGCATCATTACGCATTAGTCGCATCGCATCATTACTTTATCCCCTGTTTTTCCTGATGATGTGCTGGATGTGCTGGGCTCGAACCCGTATCTCTGGAACGGCGGTTCAGCGCGCTAACCATTGCACCACAGAAGCCCAATGAATTGGCCGCACTTTCAGCTGCTTCGAGTACAGACCCGCACGGAGCCGACCGTTCGGTACTGAACTGAACCGACAGTTCGGTAGCGCCAGATCGACATAGGGGCCCTCATCAACTTGGGGTGCACCCAATACGGGCAAAAGGCATTCTGACTGGCATTTGAGGGCCCAGCCCACAGGACCGGGGGCGTAAATACGACCTCCGGCCAGCTCTTCGAACCTTTCATCGCCTCGGGACCTAAGTGTGTGGGGGGGGGGGGGGGCACGCACTCCCCAATCATGTCCAACTTCTTATCTTGCGTAGAACAAACTCGATTCGTGGCTGGACCTTGCACAGGTTGTTCAACATGGATTGGTAACCAATTGACCCTCACCATTTTTGGAAACCGTGCTCAGGCACGCCAGCCCAGAGGGGCTGGACGATAATATTCTTCTTCGGCTTGACACCGCGCGGCCAATGGGGTAGAGCACTTCACAGATAGGACCAATCCACGGATTGTGGATAAATCTGTGGGCCGGATTGAACCGGATCAGAAATTTCCACGAAAACGTGGATTAAGAATGGATCCGGTTTTGAGATGTGCCAGCTCACACGGATTGAACGGATTGAGAACCAATAACATGGACATGGTCACTAAATGGTCACTGATACGCTCAATGAAGGCATCAGCTAAGAGACAGACTATTCAACCAATAAGATAAAGAAGTTTTAAGTGCAAGCAATGCACAAACAGACTGCTTAGTATATAACTCGGCCACTTATTCCTCTAACAAATTTTCTGATGAACAGGTGGCACTGACAACTTGATGTGATGAGTTACACTCAGATGTGCTACTATGGAAAACCAGATGTCTCATTCCCTCCACGGGAGCTAAAATGCCTGAAAATCTAAGAACCTTTCTTATCATAACATAGCCGCCATTTCTCCTCCTTTTTTCAGCAATCCCACTCAACCTCAGTGGGTAACGCTGCTTTCCAGAGTCTAAAAAATCGGTAAGAACATGTTTTGTTCGCAGAAGAATACCATAGAGTTTTCAAAATCGAGCTCCTGTCTGAGAAATGTCAAAAAAGATGAACTGCATGTCAACAATATAGTTCCTGTTTGCCAAGTCAGTGAGCCAAATTTATGAGTTAATCTCAAGCTCCAATTTAAGTATGCTGCTTCGTCTGATCCATTTTCAGGTGTCTACCAGAGCAAAAATTGTTGCGTCCTTTTGTCCACTCCCCCACTTCCCCACTCCCCCTAATCAGTGTAACTCAGATAACGAGCAGCTCGGCACCTACAACCAGCTACAAAAGGAAGCTATCTCACCCAACAGTCAGCTGCTTGATGTGAATTAGGTACCGTTAAAATACAGCCGAAACTCTGAAATTAGGTAGGTACTCATGAATTGTTTCATATCCATTGTACTTCCACTTGCATAAACCATGCATAAATTGGACACCAACAGTGCATTCGCACACCTTTTGAATCTTCCGCATTGATTTAGAACCTCCATGGTACTACACAAAAAAACCTTTCTAGGTGTCACCCACTTTAAGGTGTTCGGTGCCAATGCGTTTACGTAGGGAGCGTGCTCAGCTTTCGTACCCCTTTTCCTTGGTGCCCAAATGCACAGTCTCAGCACGGTTTGGTGCAGTGCTGAGGGTGAAGATAGGCTGAGGCGATTCGCCAATTTCGTTCCAATCCACCCGCCAAGCGATTGTGCCTCTCACGTAAGGCAAAATCAACTTTAACAAGAATAATTGTTTTCACGTAATCTCGTAATCTTGTTACGTGTAATCGCGTAACAGGTTGATTAACCATTACGCGTTTTTCACGTAATCTCGTAATCTTGTTACGTGTAATCACGTAGCAAGTTGATTAACCATTACGCGTTTGCCGAAATCTGAATAGGTTTATTATACGAAACGAGCCTCTTTACAAACACTTGTCTTCAGTCAGTACTTTCAGTTCACCCAAATTCCACATAATACCAGGTCTGGCAGCGGTGAGGATTGGTCGAGAGGGTGGACGATGGGCCGCACCCTGTAGCCTTTCTCACAAAGAGTTGTTACAAATAGTTTGTATTTGTAAGTTGTAATTTAGAATGCACAAACTACAACTTCCAACTGTTTCATAAAACTAGCGAAGGTTGTAGAATTCTAGTTGTAAAATTATGCGCCGTGTGTAATTTCTCAACGCCAATCACCGGCCTTGCCAAGGACGTAAAAGAGTACGCCTGACCGTTTTTTAGCACCCCATACGCCCAACGCTGACGTGACGTCACTGGAGTCTTGCCACGGCGAGAGCAGCGCGCAAGCCCGCACGACGCATATTACGATCTGGATATCTGCGTTTCCGTTGGTTACAGCTGCATTGTATGCAAAATTTGCTGGCAAAGCCACCCTTTCTTTCTTCCGTCACTAAAAATAGGCTGCGTTATCAAACGATTAGTTCAGTGTAAATTCGGTAAACCTAACCTAAATTACATCACCCATACTGAGCGAGACGTTGGCGTCAAGGCATACAGTCAGGCTAACGCAGTCGGGCTCGCCGTTCTCGCTGTCCCCGCTCCTTCCGGTGCCGGTTTCTGTGTCACCCATGTGCACGTGCCCAGAGTCGCACTCAGAATCCTGGTGGAGCACGAGTGACACAGGGCTTTATGGAAGGCCCCTAGTTAAATTTCTTAAGTTTTGAGCGCGCCTCAAATTTTCCGTTTCTTTCGTTTCTGTTTTTACCCACTTATTCCGACGGGCGTGTTAATGAAGGGGCCATGGAATGAGCACTGACCCCACATACTTGTTTCGTTTAGGCGGCGTCGTCAGTGAAACACTGGGGGCCACAGAATACTTATGGTGCGACATTCTGGTGGCACGGGCGCCGAGCCTCATGATCGATTCAGAAGCCCTCTGAGGAAACACTGGTCCACTTTATGACTCCGGCCGTCCTCCGACGGGAGCAGTTAGTGCGACTCGGAGTAGAGGATTTCAGTGACGCACAATAATTTCTTGCAGGTACAGGTTATCTACTAAATGACACAGGGATCATTTCTTTTTTTTATAAAATCAGGCCCCTGGACAAAAAGGAGCAAGATCGTTTGTTGATTAATGGGCCCACTGTCCGACACATAACCATTCAATTGCGTTAATCAATGCGGGCCCTGTTATTACCCTATTTCCCATCCCCTTTATTGTCGGGGTACCCAACAATGCAAGAAGCCCGCTGACATTCCAGGTCCCGTCATTGTCCCTTTCTGGCAAACCGGCCCGCTGCCGACTCGGATTCCCTTGCTAACACAGGACCCCTTGTCTGGCACTGTGGCCTATGATAAAACACAGTGGCTCTTTTTCATCTGTGCTTACCTAGCCTCCGCGCGTACTTGCCATTAGTTCATACCAATAGCAGGGGCACAATCAATATTTTCTTAAGAGGGTGGGGGCAGGCCGCAGCGATAACGCATCAAGACAATTTTAAATTTTCTTCTAAGAGCGCTGTGGTAAATATGAAGACCTGTGGGCAGAATGGAGCGCCCCTTGACTGTGCTCCTCCAAAACAATCAAACTGCAGCGACAGCAGGGTTTGAAGACTATGATCTTGTAGGCAGGAGTCGGTTTGTCCCCTTTGTGAGTTTGTGAGGGCCCTCGTTTGACACCTGTCTACCTTATTTGGTTGCCCCTTTCACAAGTTTTTTTTGACCTCAATGCTACAAAATCTCAGGAAAATATAAATATCACAGGGATCTTCTTCAGACATGACCAGCGGTTGATGACCGTTCTACTAAGATAAAGGACTACTCCGAGCCAACAACTTGAAAAAACTGCCGTACATCAAAATCGAGTGGCCTAAGAGCCGGCGAGACATGTATTTAGAGCGAGGTTCATTCATAAATACCGCGGTTTTTTCATAATTCCTCACAAGGACGTAATGTCGATGAATAATTTGTTGGGGGAGGGGGGGGGGAGGGCGGGAAATGGCTCACCCTATCACAAAATATGCATT